TACGTTTATTTCGTATAAACGAACGGCTCTTACGAGACGGAGAGGACCATTTATTGATAATTGCCGCTCTACGAATTCTACAACAGGCACACCATGAGATCGCTCGCATGTCGATCGAGTGTTCGAATGGCTCGCCCCGCCCGCCACCGATGAAATAAGCATTAAGAAATATCGAATCCATCGATCCGTGCTATTACGAGGGAACGAAAGAGGAAATCGATCTGCGTTCGCATAAAATCGCAATTTCTCGCTAATTATTAACCGGCAAGCATGAGAAATTCCTAACGGGTCATGTGGAAGTGCGATAGTGGACGGAATGGATAGTATATAGCACTGGCTCTCGTGGACGAAAATTGTCGGAAGTGTTCAGTGAAAATTACGCGACCTGATCGCTCGCGTAGCCGTAGTTTAAGGTAATTTATTTGGGAAATATTTACGAGCCGGCCGCATGGCGCAGACTTTGATTTATATACGCGAATAAAATAGCTCTATTATACGCATACACGTTCGCTCCCCGAAGAAATCGTCTGGATGTGCCACTTGAAGCAAACAAGAAAGTCATTAAAGAATGAAATCGTACTAAGTAAGACTAGACAAGTATGCGAATCATTGTGTAAATGACGTCATGTGAAATAATAAAAAATTCGTTTGTAAAGGAGATAGTTTGCGGAGAATTGTGGACAAATTGTAATACGAATTAATTAAAGACTGATTAACAGAATTTTCTCAATTTCTGTGGCATAACGTCTTATCTTTTTTTATCTTTATCCGATAAAATGTTCATAGAAAACGTATCTTGAATAATTTCACGTTATTACATGATTATGGATATTAAACATCTGTGCGAGTTAAAAAAAATATCATGTAATTTTTATTTACATGATTGTATTACTTGTAATATACAATGTTCAATCCTGTTGATTAAAACCCAAATTTTATTTAATTTATATTAATTCAGTTTACGTAATAAATTTTTTTGTTGATTAAAATGTGTTTTTAAAATAAATGTTATTTAAATTTTCTAAATTATATCATTTTATTATTTTAAGCTTATTAAAATCCCTTATATTATAAAAAATTATTGTAAAAAAATTCACAAAGTAATTTTTAGTCAACCTCTCATATTAAAGATATTAAAGTGATGAAATATTCTGACAGCTATTCCCGCACATTCTAATGACCCTTTGACCTGAATAGCGCCAATCCCGTTTAACGCAATTTTTTCTAATCAATTGCGAAACAATGCGAAGGTTGTGCAAATGGCATTCGCACGAATCGTGCGAAATGTATTATGATTTGACGAACAGAGTGTTCCAAGTGTTCCCAATTTAAATACGTTAGATCCCATTACGATCAAACACATAAACACTGTTATTGATGATTCGATCAACGAGCGCGATCCGGACCCAACTCGGACCTAAGTAATCGTGTTCCAGAGCACGCTATTAATTGGCCATAATAATTACATAGCCGAATTGACGAACCTCGGGTTTCCTATTTCCGGTGTCCGGTTACTTGTTATGCACTCGTCATTATTGGAAGCCCCACTTCCGGTGACACGGTTCCAATTTCCATGCTCGCCACACTCGTCAATGGATGCCCGAAAGTGATGAGCAGGTAACGGGATATCTTTGGTAACATCGATCGTCGAATTCCCCATCGATTGTTACACGAGTCTACGATGTCGCAATTATTCGTTTGACCAGCGTACCCTTCAACTGCATAATTAGCTGGGAATAAGGTTGGGTGATAAAACTGCCATTTCGCATTGCAACCTAAATAACTCTCGTTGTCCGATTTTATCAGGAGATTCTTAGACTTTTAATAATTCGCAGAAAGGCTTCGACACATTTTGAAATCTCACTACTTTGCAAAACCGTGGAGATGCTCATATTCTTACGTCGTAATAATAATAGTAATAATATTTACGTGAATCATCCTCAGATTGGTTACAAAGTCTTTTCGTGTTCTTCATAGGGTCTCTTTGGAATGTTTCTTTAGGCCATTTTTCCGTGCGATTTCTCGATGATTTTTATAGACATATGTAGGTTAACAACTATTATATCACGATCGTAAATGAAGTCTACAATAAGTACGTAACGATATCTTCGCGTGTAATAATCTTGCTGCGACAAGTTATCAGAAATCACAAGTAATTGAAGCACACGATAATGAGCAGTTGGAGACAAGAAATAAAAGTATCAAGTCATTCGCTAATTCCTTCGGGATTTGGAATCTTCTCTACAGCGTCTCTCGTTTCACTCTCATTTTTCCTCAGGAAATAGACACGTCCCTCAAAATCAACTATTTACTAATTACATTTACATTTTACGATCGATAGAATAATCTTCTGCTATAAAATATAAATATTTATTTCTCTTCTAAAATTTTTTCAAGTTTTCTGAATTTCTCCGATGTTTCTCCCGTTTTCGATCGCTTCTTCGAGAATGGTAATTCTCTCGTTTACGAGGAAACTCTCACGTAACAAGCCGTTGACCCAGCGACACACGTGGACACGCTGTTAACACTGTTTTCCCCCATAAATGATCCCGGGCACGGGGATACGCGATGGTAAAAGCATTCAGCTCACGCAGTCTGGGTCAATATAGGGTTTAGAGTCATGTCGGCGGTAGCTCGAAAGAACCGCAAGTAATGATTCTTCCTTTCACGCAAAGTGGGACTCGCAGGAAGTCGCTTTAAATAATACTCATCGTTACTGGCACGTGAACAATCGGGCAAATATCACCGTGCAAAAACCGACGGCGATGTAAAACCGCGGTCACTCTAACATATGAGGGTTTTGATGGAAGCCGTCACGAAGAGAAATCGTTAAACGATATCCGTGAAGTGACAAAAAAGTTCGCGTGGCTCGCGAACAATGCCGCCGAGTTCTTCGATTCGCCTGCCAAATCCATGATGAAGTTTAACCTTCGCGATCTTCTTGAGGATTCACGCGTCGTGTTCTTAGCGATCGATACACCGCATTGCCCAACCTGCCAAAGTGCAATATTTATAAAAAAATTTATACAAAAAAAAAGTGCGAACCGCGATTTTTGCTGATCGATGTGCAATAAACGAGAAACGACACGACACGATTCCTGCATTCCGGAACGATTCGATAAATAAACAATGGCGCGTCCGACGCATTATTATCTCATATTTTCTCGCATTATCCGTTGACCGCGCGCTTTAATTGGCTTAATTGTTTTTACGCAATCGACATTCCGCAATGTTGCCGACGACATCATTCCACGCTTACGTGCGACGAGGACTCGCTCGTTACGGAATTTACGAGCGAATTGATCCATTGCGTGAGCCGAGCTGCTAGCAAATCTGAGTCCCATGTCTCATCTCTCATTGCGATTTTTGCGAATGACTCTGCGTCCCGTCGAGATTAATCGTCTATCGTTTGCCACGATGGCCGACCGTACTCTTCAATCGGTCAATCCTGCCAGACAGAAGCATGGATCTGTCATTACATTCTTTCATGTTCGAACGGTTCGTGCGACTGTTTCCGCTCGAACGTGCGTTTGCGCCTTCTTCATGTATTCTCTTCGAAAAGGTCGAAACGAGTAGCCATCATAACAAAAATATCTTTTAAAATTAATAAATTAAAATTTTTATTGCTACATCAGAATTGCCAAATCTAGCTCGTTGCTTACATAAGAATTATTTTATTATTTAATTGTGACTTTAATTATTATTATTTTAAATACCAAATTCGTAGAAAGATTTGTTTTTATGATATAAAAATCTTATTTTCTCTTGATCCGTGAAGTCTAAAATACTTATATCATTTGGATTTTTACAGAAAAGATTTGTTGACCCTTGTTGATCCTACATTAATGACAGCATTTATATCGAATAGATAACTAGAAAGTAATAAAGGATGTTTGATGCGCATACATGCAAAATGAGATTAATCGAAATGTATGTTTGTCAATCTTTGAACGTAATCGAAACTTACGACGCACTCAGGCTCAGGAAGGTAGATGGTCTATGAGTCGGAGTTATGACTCATCAGTATACTATCGTCACTAGTATGCGCTTCGTCGCGATAGTATATGCCATTACGTGCGGTCGAAGCACGATTGCGCTCGTGAAGAGTCACATTTACATTTAGACATTGGCCATAGACATTCGAGGAATTTTTTAGCGAGTCTCGAATACATTTTATTCCAGGCAATTCAATGTAATATACATATCGAATAGATACGGATGATCCTCGAATTCGAAGTGTATAATTCGAGAGGTTCGAGAGGAGTCGCGAATTACAAATACTTTTCCAGTAGAGAACCACCGTAATGACGTCGTCGGTTTTAACGCGTCTCTGCCTACGCGCGTTTGCGTGTCTTGCGCTTTCTCGTCGTCTCGCATGTCCATGAAACCTTCCCGGTAACGTCTCCCATAAACCCAATTGCGTCTCGCGAACTTCGCGTACCCCGCGCCTTTATTGACCCATCAGCTATT